TCCTCCTCCTCCTCCTCCTCCCCCTCCTCCTCCTCCTCCTCCTAATCATGCTCCTACTCCTCCCGAGGCCTCCACCACCCTTCTGCTAAAAGCATCGCCTCGTCGCACCCCCAAACATGTCGGCGGGGTGGTCTGGAGCGTTTCGCCTGGAACGTCCTGGACATGTGCGACACCGAAACTTACAGCTCTGAACGGCTTCCCGCACAGAGGGCGGGTTGTTTTCGACCTGTGGCTCTAGAGCTAGCGCCGCACACACACACACACACACACACACACACACACACACACAACACACACACACAACACAACAACAAAAACAAAAACAAACACGCACACACGCACACACGCACACACACACACACACACGCACACACACGCACACACACACACACACACACGCACGCACGCACGCACGCACGCACGCACAGACACGCAAGTCTCAAAGCTATACAGCAGCTACAAACATGAAGGACGGATGGTGTTCGACACGCTGCTCTCGCATGAGCGCCACGCACGTTAGTCTTAGAAGCTTCCAACAGACACAGGGCTGGAGGCCGGGTACTTTCCAACAGAGAGATCCCGCCTGAGGCAACATGAAAATTGGCGCCCATAGTCTGACAAGCACGTATACCAAAGCACCAAGGAAACGGAAGGCAGCCCCCTTTCAAAATGGAGTGCCCGCTTGCGCCTTCATCAAACCTACAAGACGCAGTGAAAGCATGCCCAACAGCTACAATGCTGGCGGGCGGCTCGGTTTCAAGACTGAGCGCTCGCTCTACACGTCCTCGAAATGGACGACCTGGCGTGCAACACTGTGCAACGAGTAAGAGACGGATTCCGGAACCCCTGAAACCAAAAACGTTGTCATCTCTTTGGGGGTGCATGTCGTACTTCCGCCGACTTCCGCTGGCCTCGTTTTACTTCCGCCGCCTTCCGCTGGCCGTCCGCAGCGTTCCGCCCAGGAGGAGATGGCAACTCCTTCGATCCGCGATGACAGGCCCTGTTTGGAACGCTCCACGTGGATGGAGGGCGGCCCGTGCTCAGGACGGGGCTTCGGCGGGCACAGCCTCTAAGGCTGTGGCCACCTCGTGCTCCTCAGGGCACTTCCTCCTCCGCGCGGCCGCCGCAGTGCTGTTGCCCTACTCTTGCACGCCGGCCAAGTAGCCAGCCGTAAGCAAGCGCGTTCCACTACTCGCAGAGCAGCTGCTCGCAAGTGGCCTGGATCCGCCGAGTGGGATCTGCGATTCCGCTATACATTGTGGCAGACGCTTGTTTTCAGGACCATCGGCACCGCCTGATCCCGGGGCTTTGCCCTCTCTTGGCCTTGACGTGAGGCCCCTCCTTCTGTTTTCCTCCCTCTGTCCATTAAAGCTGTGCGCGGCCCGCTTAGCTTCGACCGGAAGAGGCTCGCTCTCGACCCGCGGATCAAAAAAAATGTGTTCAGGACCTCTTGCGAGTAGGCACTTTGCGAGTACTGGAACGCGCTCGGTGAGTTCGGATGCCCCGACTTGCCTCGCCTCTGGAGCGGACCGCCTCTGCCTCGCCGCCGACGGGACGGTTTTCCTCCGGGTCCTCCCTTTGCAAGACGGGGATGCCGCCGGGACGCCAGGCCCGCCGGGCGCTCATCCTTCCGCGGGTTGCTCGCCGCAACCAGGCGGACTGGCTGCAGGGACTTCTATCGGGAGGCCGGGCCAGGCGATGTAGGGAGGGCGAGGCAGGCGAGAGGGGGGGAGGGAGGAGAAGGAGGAGGAGGAGGAGGAGGAGGAAGGGCGAGGCAGGCGAGAGGGGGGGAGGGAGGAGGAGGAGGACGAGGACGAGGAGGAGGGAGGAGAGGAGAGGAGGACGACGACGACGAGGAGGAGTAGGAGGAGGAGGAGGACGACGAGCAGGAGGAGGAGGAGGACGACGACGAGGAGGAGGAAGAGGAGGAGGAGGAGGGAGGAGGGAGGAGGAGGAGGAGGAGGAGGAGGAGGAGGAGGGATGAGGAGGAGGGCGGAGGAGGAGGAGGAGGAGGAAGAGGAGGAGGAAGAGGAAGGCGTGTGACCCTGGGGCTTGCGATTTCAAACTGACAGAGAAGAGCGAGTCGCGCTCAAGACGCTGTTGTCGCCTCAGCTCTGCGAGCTTCTAGTGCAAAAGCCCACAGAAGCTGCAAGGATAAAGGGCAATCGTGTTCAGAATGCTGTTCGCCCAAGCGCCGCGCACGCGTGCTGTAATTGCTTACAACATATGAACAAATGTTGTATTGTATCTAGGGTTACAGGACGTAAGGATCAAGAGCCGGTCGTCTCCAGTCTGTGGCAATCGCCTGGGCCCCGCGCAGACGTGCCTTAGAAATTTCAAGCAACTGCAAGGATGGAGAGCGGACCGCTTTCCAAATAAGGGTATGGCCCGAGCGCCGGGCACCATCGTTCTGGAAACTGCCCCAACAAAGATACAGATGACGGAGGGCAGGCTGTCTTCAGCATGTGGTTCTGGTCGGGGCACCGCGCACCTGCGTCGTAAAGGCCTACGACGGAGACCGTCGGGGTTGATAGGCGAGGACACACGATGAGGACCCAAAACCCTTCCGAGGGCCACATTGCCTTAGTAATGGGGAAGGCGTAAGCCGCGACACACGGGGCACGAGGGCACCCTTTGAGTAGGCAGGGTCGACCAACCAAGCAACCTCGACGGTACAAGACGGAGCGCGCTTCCTCTCTCAACAATAAGCCCCGTCTCGCCAAAGACGCTTTCAGCCCCATGCGGCCATGTGACGACGGCGGCGCCGCGTGGCGAGGCCTGCGCCGCCTGCGCCTCCTTGTCGCCATCGGACATCTGGTCCATCTCCTCGCGGCTCATCACCTGCCCCCCCCCCCCCCACCCACCGCCCTCCCCCCCATCCCCTCCCCGCCGCGGAGGGAGGGGAGGAGGAGGAGGAGGAGGAGGAGGAGGAGGAGGAGGAGGAGGAGGGAAAGGGAGGAGGCGGGAAGAGGAGGGAGCAAGCGAGCGGGCGGGCGGTCAATGAGGCGAGAGCCAATCGGCTCATCATCCTCATCATCATCGACCGGCTCTTCATCCTTCGCGGCGGTTCCTCGGCCCCCATCGGCATCATCATCTTCCGCCTCAGGCTCGTAGTGCCTCACCCCCGCTCCACCTTCGCAACACTATGCTATCTGTATCCTCCCCTTCGCCGTCATGACTTTCATCCTGCCCCGCTTCACGAACCCACTCCTCCACCTTATCCTCGTTCTCTTCCTCCTCTCCCTCTCCTTCACGCTCTGTCTTCCCCTCGCCCTCCTCGCCATCCCACCCCTCGTGTTCCTCGCCCTCCGTCCCCCTTCTCATCCTGGTCTCCCGCGCGATGTCCCCTGCCTGGGTCCCCCCCTCCGCAAGTGGCCGCCGGCCCCGCCCCCCCAGGGACTGCGCTTGCACACCCGTGGGCATGTGTCGAGCTGGCCGTGCCGCTCCGAGCCACGCGGGAGGCCAAGCACGAGCCGGCATCACCGTGTGGCCGGTTCGAGTCGGGATGCCGCGGGCGTTGGCTCCTGACGCAGCGTGTGATGGGCCCGTTTTCCACCACCACCACCACCACCAGAAGTGGGAGGGGGAGGGGGTCCTCGTCCTCCTCCCCCTCCTCCTCCTCCTCCTCCGCCTCCTCCTCCTCCTCCTCCTCCTCCTCCTCCTCCTCCTCCTCCTCTTCCTCCTCCTCCTCCTCCCTCTCCTCCTCCTCGTCCTCCTTCCCCCCATCCAACTTATGGTGGTGGTGGTGGAAAACAGGCCCATGAGCGTGGATCGTTCAACCTTGAGCCATCGCGGCTCTCCGAGAGCGCAGATCGCTCGACATCGGCCATTTCTGGGCCACTGGCGGCCTGCAACCTGGGACCCCCGCGCCGGGGCCGCCGCTGCGTCGACGCGGCACCAGCCGACCGTGCCGCAGGAATCACGAAGGCAGTCACGAAGAGTGTCCCAAGTCTGCTCCCAGAGAGCTTAAGATGTCTGCAGAGCTACAGCAGCCACTCTCTGAGACTTTCGTGGGCGCGGTGGGCCTGCTGTGGAATCGTGGGGCCGCTTGGCTGTTCTTAGTTACGCCAAGGGCGTTGTTTACCGCTCTGAACGCGGCGTGTTGAAAACTATTGTTAGCGATTTAGGGCCCAACAAGAAAAATTAATACGCTGAGCGTTGCTAGCTTGGGTTGGGTTCTGCGTTTTCTGGTCAGTTGGTTGGATTGTTTAACGTTACCGTCTACAACGTCCTCAGTTCCTTTTCCTGGCGTGCAGTCCTCAGCCCTCCCGCTCTCTCAAACCTTCGGGTGACCCAAAAGGGGGTCCAGCTGAAAGGGGATGGTGCAATAGAGTTGGGGCAAGTGTATTGCAAATATATTGCGCCAGAGAATCGTATTGCATCGTATTGCAAGTAACCTATTGCACGCGAAAGCCCAGCAGTGCATGTGCGCCCTTGCACTGCACACCTCAAATGTGTTGCAGCCCCACAAATCTATTGCACCAAATCTATTGCACCACCCTCCTCCTCCTCCTCCTCCTCCTCCTCCTCCTCCTCCTCCCCTCCTCCTCCTCCTCCTCCTCCTTCCCCCCTCCTCCTCCTCCCGTCCTCATCCCCGTCCTCCTCCTCCTCCTCCTCCTCCCCGTCCTCCTCCTCCTCCTCCTCCTCCTCCTCCTCCTCCTCCTCCTCCTCCTCCTCCTCCTCCTCCTCCTCCTCCTCCTCCTCCTCCTCCTCCTCCTCCCCTTGTCGCTGGACCCCCTTCTGGGTCAACCCGAAAACCGGCTGCTCGCCGTCCTCGGAGCCCCTCCCGGGGCGTCGGGCCTCCGAACCCGACGGCCGCTTGCCCCTCTCGGGGCCCTCGGGCCTCTGGGCCCGGTTCGGGCCGGTGCCAGGCCGGTGTTAGAACGTTGTTCGGCGTTGTTACTCCAGATTTCGTAATAAAGAGAGGAGGGTCTCATTTCGGGGGGGGGGTCTCTTCCAAGCTATCTTGGAGGGTCTGGGGGGGTCTGGGGACGATGTTTTGGAGGGTTCTCCCACGGGGGAGGTCTGAAATGGCTCGTCTTGGAGGGTCCAGACCCCCTTCCTTTTATTACGAAATCTGGAGTAGCTCTGCGAGGGAGATCGGCGGCAGAAACGAAAAATGGGAGTGAAGACAACAGGGAAGACAAGGAACAGCCTTCGACCATGCGCAAGAAACGCTAAAAAGAGGTATGATCCATAGCGACGGGCCTCAACACGCTCAAAAAAGGAGGCTAAAAACGCTGCAAACAACGTCGCGTCTTTAGCGTCTTCAGCTCGTCAAAAGCCCAACGTGCAAAACGGTAATACAAAAAAACACGCCCAGGGCATAAAAAGAAGAACTGGATGTATCGAAGGGTGTCGCCTGGACCTCTTGTGAACTTCTTTCTTTCCCGTGGGGCTCTAGTGGGGTATTCTTGAGAAGGTCTTGGTGCGGTCCTTTGGTGCGCTCCTGAGGCCTTCGAGGAACCTCGGGGCCAAGACCGACCCAAAAGCGACTCCATCGTCAGGCCCTTCCTGACCTACGTGAACGCAATGAAAGACCCACACGGCCGTCCCAGAAACGTGCCCCTGGGGCTATTGTGGGAACCAAGCAACTGCCCTCATGTGCTATCTTAGACGAAGGAGAAAAAGCAGCAGAAGCATCAACTGGTGGCGCTCCGCGCGGATTTCTGGGATCTGACCGCGCCAGGGGCGGCGCCGGAGGCGCCGCCAGGGGGCCCCAGCGCGGATCCAAGAGATCCGCGCGGAGCGTCAAAAGCCTGTGTGGCGTTTTTTCTTTTTCGACTCCTGGCCTCTTGAAATCCTCATGTGCTATCTTTGTGGATGCCATGCAAATGGACACCTTTAACAATCCGACCATTGAATTAAAGATGTGTTTAAAATGTGTAAGCCAGATTATAAAAAAGGCTTCAAGCATGTATTTACATATTGAAAACATAGTTGAAACATGTTTTAGACATCTGGAAATGATTAAGCAGCATGCTTCCTCTCAATGGATCGGCTTCCACAGTGCTGTCTGGGCCTCTTGCAACCCTCATCGGGGCTTCCTCGGGCCTCCTCCTCCTCCTCCTCCTCCTCCTCCTCCTCCTCCTCCTCCTCCTGCTTCCGCGGGCCCTCTTGGAGCCTTTGCGATGCCGCCCCGGAAGGCTCTTCGGGGGGATCCGGGACGAGCGCGGGCGAGGCCGAGGAGCGGCGCGGGACGGCGCGGACGGGGTCCACATCCCCAACAGAGGGGCCCGGGGACCCACACACAAACAAGTGGACACGAGTCCTAGGATGTCCCATGCTTCCAAGTATTTCCTGGCTCTTCGTCTTCCCCCCCCCCACACCACTTCCCCGATGTTCCTGGGAATCGACGCTGATTTGCGTCTGTGTGCGTTTTCCCCTTCTGACCCATGTGAAAAGATTCGAGGTCCCAGGTTCCCCCATTTCTCATCCCTCCCTAGGTAAATCTGGAGTACACTGGGACACGTATGAATACGCAGTCCGTACTAACAATTTCGCCCATCGACATACGTAACATCCCTCCCGCGCGGTGTGGTCGGTGGCTTCGGAGCGCGGCCGTCGCGTTCTGGGCCGGCGCTGGGCCGCAGCGGTAAGCGAAGCAGGCTTTTAGGTCGGGCATGTCCTCCTACAGGCGGATTCGGGAAGAGAAACAAGATGTAGCTCCGAAAATGGTCAAAGAGAGTCTCCAGAGCACGGGAAATCGTCCCCAGGCTATTCTTGCTACTGTCCCCGAATACTCCTCTTGTAGAGGGGCACGCCCGACTTCAAAGCAGGCTCAGCGCTCCTCTCCCGCGACTCGCGCCAGCGCTGCTGGCCGAGAGCCGCGGCGAGAGGCAAGCCGAGGAGGGCCGAGGCCGCGGGGCGGCGGGGCTCCGTCCAAAAGGAAGGCGCGCATCATTTCGGTCAGGCGCCCCAGTTAGGAGATGGCCCCCGACGCAGAGCAGCACAATCCCCCTCCTCCCTTCCCCCTCCTCCCCCTCGTCCCTTCCCCTCCTCCCCCTCCTCCCCCTCCTCCCTTCCCTCACCCCCCTTTGCCCTCCCCACGGACGGGCCTCAAGCACGTGGCCGGCCCCCCACCTCCCCCTCCTCCTCACTGCCACCACCTCCGCCACCACCACCCTCCTCCTCCTTCGAGCTTGGAGCTGTTGGCAAGTGCATCTCTCCCATGTTGCTATCCTTCCTCCTCCTCCTCCTCCTCCTCCTCCTCCTCTCGTCTTCATCCCCATCATCATCATCATCATCATCATCATCATCATCATCATCATCATCAGCAGCAGCAGCAGCAGCATCATCAGCATCATCATCACCAGCATCAGCATCATCACCAGCATCAGCATCATCATCAGCAGCAGCATCATCATCATCATCATCATTATCATCAGCATCATCATCAGTATCATCAGCATCAGCAGCAGCAGCAGTAGCAGTAACAGCAGCAGCATCAGCATAATCATCATCATCAGCATCAGCAGCATCATCATCATAATCAGCATC